GCGGCGCGCGTCCGTGATCCAGCGAGTTGGAGGCCAGGTGGCGGAAACCGTCGTGGCTCTTGTAGTCGTCGCAAAAATAGTTTAGATAATAATATTAGCAGCGAGGCCTTGCCTTCAGTGCTCCATTCGTATCTAACGTAGTGTATGTGTGTGAATGTTCTCTAACTTTCGCCGCTTCGTGATGAATTAGCAGCAAGGAAGTTGCGTGGATCTTCTACATTGGTGGCAGCGGATGCGTTCGAAAAACGCAAATCGAACCCCAGCCCTTTCTCTTCAATGGACAACAGAGGCAAAGACCCTTAAATGCCAGCTGAATTTGTCATAGTGTTCATCCGATGTCCAATAAATTGGATCCATAGACTTTGCCCGGGATTAGGCCTACTGCATCTGAAGAGGCATTGACAACTCAGCGACGACGACTTGGACAGTGAAAGCCAGCTGGACTGCATCTGCGAATGGACCTTCGATGGATGATGAGTCCTTCCTGCAAGTCGACAAGAGCAAAGTCCCTCGTCAACTATTCGCATGGGCCACTGTCTTGCCAGATGCGGGGTGCGGGAAGTGTCGAACTGGATATTTTACCACTCATGAACAGTGCAGTGAACCAAGCCTGAAGCTGAGGACAGCTTCACTCCTGAGTGGGAGGCGGTGTGACGTCGGATCAGGGCGCTGACTTATTGGACCACCTGGCCTCAGCCAATCCTGTGTCACTCTGTGTTCCAATGGCATGCGAGAAAGATAAGCAGCCAACCAGAGAAGGACACGAATGAGGAGCAGTACATAATGAGTGGCCTAGCCAGCGTGGTGGACTACCAGCTAAGATCAGAGAGCTGCACGCAGGAATTTTGCCTTAGTAAATAGCAGAGGTGGAGAGGGTTCTCTCGTCGGGGCCTGACCTGGGGGTTAACGCTCCGCCCTCCGCCTCAGATCAACTCCGTCAAACCCAAAAGTGGCGATCAAGGACGATCAGATTTCAAGAGCCGTGATTCAGAGGACCCGGCGGACAATGGGCGGGTAAACCTCGCGGCGGAGAAGGTTCTAAGAAGCTTCCAGGTGCGTCAGTTCCATGCCTTGCCATTCATGCGTCATGTGCTGACACCCGACCCTTCATATCCATAGGTTTATGCAATAGGTTAATGCACTTTCTTGTTGATACGGGTGCCGGATGTTCTTTGGTCAACCTAAGACGGTTCCCTCAGAAATAGTTTGAACCATACCTGGTAGAGTCGTCAATTAAGGTTAAGGCCACGAACGGAACTGCGATACATAGTAGGGGGTGTGTTGATGTCTCACTCACTATCGCGGGTAGTCTGTACCAGCATACTATGCCAGGACATGCCATACGATGGTATATTGGGGTCAGACTTCCTCGACAGGTATGCGGGCGAATATAGTCGGCCAAAGCGGTGTTTACGTCTAGGGTCTCACGAGGTACCGGTAGTTTATGAGCAGAGCAATGGTGTTATATCTGCAATTACAACTCAGACACACCCAACTCCAGGGGAGCTAGACCGATTGGTGAGCACATAAGCACATAGTAAGGGGCTTGATCTTACTCGGCTTCGCAAGCTGGTCCAAGAGTATGCAGATTTATTTGCGTGGGACGGGGCAGCTACTGGTAGAACAAATGTTACGGTCCATGACATTCACACGACGGAGGCACGCCCTATTCGACAATGATCCCAACGGATACCTGTGGCGTATAAGCAGGCAGTTGAGGAAGCCATTGCGGATATGTTACAGAAGAAAATAATCAAACCATTGTCATCTCCATTGGCATCGCCCATAGTTGTCGTCAAAAAGAAGGATGGTGCCATTAGGTTATGCGTCGATGATCGGAAACTAAATGAAGTCACAGTGAAAGATAGCTTTCCCATCTCATGGATGGATGTCACGCTAGACGCCTTAGGAGGATCAAAGTCTTTCTTTACTTTGGATCTTAAGTCGGGCTACTGGTAAGTCGAGATTAACCCAATCCATCGGGAGAAGACAGCGTTCGTAATTCCGTCCGGGTTATATGAATTCGAGACTATGCCCTTCGGCTTAGCTAATGCCCCCGCAACGTTTCAATGACCTTTGAACACAGTCCTACGAGGCTTAGTACCGCAGGAGTGCATGGTTTATATGGACGACGTGATTGTCCACGCAAAGGACATCAAACACCACATTAGAAGGTTACGTAATGTCTTGGAACGACTTTGTGGGGCGGGACTTAAACCTAACCTATAGAAATGCACTCTCTTCAGGGAGTCAGTTAAGTTTTTGGGCCATGTTGTCACTAAGTAAGGCATCAGAACGGATCCGGATAAAACGGAGAAAGTTAGGACATGGCCGACACCAACCAATGTAGAACAGCTACGGAGTTTTTTTTAGGATTGGCAACGTATTATCGTAGGTTTGTCAAAGGGCTCGCCCATATCGCCTCGCCACTTCATAAGCTTACGGAGAAAGGACGACCCTGGTCATGGACGAATCAGTGTCAGCAGGCCTTCTGCGACCTCAAAGCTTGTCTAGTCACGGCTCCTGTACTGGTCTTTCCCAATGTGGGAAAGGATCGCCCTCCGTTCATTTTGGATACGGGCGCGTCAGACAAAGCAATTGAGGCGGTACTTTCACAGGTTCAACCCGATGGCTTAGAACACCCTATCGCATTTGGTAGCCTTGCCTTGTCGATAGCTGAGCGCAATAACTGCTCTACTAAACGCAAAATGCTTGCCTTCAAGTTCTTCTTAGAGCATTATAAGCATTAACTTTTGGGCAACGAGATCGTGGTACGTACGGACCATCAAGCTCTCAAGTGGTTGCATAGCTTCAAGGAACCTTCGGGCATTATTGCAAGATGGCTGGAGGTGCTGAGCCAATTCAACTATAAAGTTGAATATCGCCCTGAAAAAAGCATGAGAACGTGGATGCCTTGTCTAGGATTCCAGAACATACGGCAGACGTAGCCGCCATCTCCATGGAACAAACTACAGTTGAGAATTGGGGGGCAGCTTAATCGGAATATCCCTACATAAGCCTCATATACGATAGAGAACGCATAGGCTCTCTCAAGCCTACAGACAAAGAGATGGCGGGAAGCAGCCAAGAAGCGCGAGTGCTTTGGTCTGCCTGGAATAAACTTTGCTTTA